TATACACATACCGTATGAACAATATATAAGATTAGAAAAGCATTTCATTTGTTTTTTATTTACCTTTTACACAACATGCCAACTTTTTTGGAATTGTGGTTGTGATGAAGTCATTTCAAAAGATTTAAACTCATAGCTACCACTGGCACAAACAGAAATCACATCAAATAAGCACAACTGTTCTGAGTAGTCTGGATTTTGACCGACTATTTAATCTCCATCAGGGATGTAATGGATAATAATTTTTGTTTCTTTCTGTCTTGTTGTCAGGTGACGTGTTGGAGATGGATGAATGTGGCTACATGTATTTCAAGGACCGAAGCGGGGACACATTTCGCTGGCGAGGGGAGAACGTTTCCACCACAGAGGTGGAGGGGGTCCTCAGTGGTTTGCTGGGACACTCTGATGTAGCGGTGTACGGGGTGTCTGTGCCAGGTACAGATGAGATGAGACAGGATAAAACACTCGTTTGAAAACCAAGACGCCAAAACAGCACTGAGTCACCGAGCTTCCATCATCTCAGCTGTCTGCTGTCTGTGGTTGTGCAGGTGTGGAGGGTAAAGCTGGCATGGCAGCAATAGCTCACACAGGAGGTACTTTGGACCTCGATGCTTTCTGGATTGCTGTGAAAAAATCCCTTCCTTCCTACGCACGACCCATCTTCCTGCGACTCATGCCGTCTGTTGATACTACAGGTGAGACAACAAAGGACTCAAGCATATTTAAAAAAAATCTAATATGCAAACTTACATCCCACGTTTCATTTTCAGGTACATTCAAAATTCAAAAGACTCGTCTGCAGAGGGAGGGCTACAAGCCTCAAGAGTCAAGTGAAATGATTTATTACCTGAACAACCATGCTGGGCGTTACAAGGCTCTTACTGAGGAACTCTATAAAGACATCATGGATGGTAAAACATCTCTTTGAGACAAGACGACACACGTGAAAGAAGATGGTACTGTGGGCGAAAAGACACATTTGTTTTACTAATATTGGTTTATTATTATGATACTATTTTTGCAATAAAATCCACTTGTGTATTAACAGTGTTAAGTGTTGTTTTAGTGCAAACTGCATATATTTGTACTCTATCAATTTAAAGATTTAGCCAACAATACAATTATGACAGAGAGCAGAGAAGCCTGGCATAAACAAAAAACTTTATTTTATTTTTTATGAAAGGCACAACAAAAGGAGCTGCAAGGTCCTACTAAAAATTAAAAAATAAAAACAATTACAAACTATAAACTCAGAAAATTAAAAAAATATATACAGTAGGCAGCTGTGGCTGATTGATTAGAGCAGTTGTCCTCCAATGGGAGAGTTGGGGGTTCGGCTCCACCAGCAGTCGCATGCCGAAGTGTCCCTGAGCAAGACACTGAACTGAAGTGTTGCACAGACTGACACACTGCAAACATCAGAGCGTTATTGTTCAGTAAAAACAAAGGCTCAGTTTCATGAACATAAAGTGTGACGTTAACTCAGCGAGGCTGCAGACTCCTGGTTTTCTTCAAAGGGATGAAGTTTTAGATGATCAACATTTGTCTGGTTGTGGTTTTCACATTCATTGCTGATGCTGTTCACGGTTTTGTTGGATGAAACATACGTGACACTGAATTTGGTCTTTCTCTTTTGTTTTGACAGGTTTTTTTTTTTTTCTTTCCACTGGATACGTTGGAGTCTCCATCGTGAGACCAAGTGTTCTTGGGTCAAACATCAACTGTCCGTTTATCTTTAACGCGGTGTCTTTTATTGTGGAACATTTATCTTTTATTGCCTGTTCATGTGCAAAAGTCTTCTTTTGCCAGAACACATGAATATGAATACGGGTGGAAACATTCAGGTTTGGCTGGAACACTCATTCCAACCACTGTGAGGGTTGATGTGAAGACTATAAGCCCAAGACAGACCCTCAAGGACCGGCCTGTTGCTCTAGGATCCAGGGTCAGTGTAGCTGAAGGACAAAGAGGACACGAGAGACTCGAAATAGGTGAAAACAGAGCAGGAAGTTTGAGGTGGCAGGATTCTAACACTAGAGGCAACATGTTTAATCTTTTCCCACACAGCATACTGGAGGTTTTGCCACATCAATTAAAGGTCTGCAAACTTTCCCGGGCTCCAGGTGACTTGTCCATGTGCTGCAGTAAATAAATATGGACTGAAAGTCAGACACTTCTATATGTTTTGGTCTAAAGATCAGTCTTTAATTGACATACCTGTTCCTTGTGCCTCATAGTGAAGGAAAACTTATGTATTAAGATAAGCATATTTTTCCACTTTATTTTCTAATTAGGCATTAATTAACTGCTGTCACCTGCTAAATAAAAATGTGTTTCCTTCTCCTCCTGAGTTAAACTTTCTTTCAGTGAGTTGGATTTTCTCCTTCAGAGGTTTTATCAGCCGACTCCTTGTGTTTATCTGCTCCGCGCCCTTCCTTCTTCGTTCTTTCTTTCTTCTCCTTCTTTTCCTCCCTCGGGATTAGCAGCCTGGATGTTTCCTCCCATAAAAACAAACAAACAAACAATTAAATAAACAAACAAACCAAAAAAAACTGGTGACGTTCTTTAATGCTTTCGTCATCAACTCTTCTGTGAGTCTGGCCTCAGCCTCAAAAGAGAGAAAAAATATTAAAAACACATCCAGGCAAGTGGCAACATGAGAAAATTAATGTTGTTTTTAGTTATTTTTATGCATCTGGTTGTTCTTGGATGAATGCTGTCAAATCTGAACATGTTTCATGATGTGTTGAGCTCCCTCTAGTGTTCAAAAATAGACTTACAAAAACACAGCATTTTTAAAATTGTGAATTTATTAGTATATTTATGTGTAAAAGTGTAAAATATTTGTGATATAACCCCTTTTCTTGATCAGAGGTTTTAACAGGTGATTAATTCTGTTTATACTTTATTCTGTAACTGCTCAATTTTCACACTGTGAACCTTTGAAATTTGCATAGAAAATAGAAATGTTGGGATTAAGTGATATTTTATTTCAATATATAAAACTTTCATAAAACAATGATGACACTTTTTTTTCTTCTATTTAGTTAAAAGCGATTTTTCTTTTTAGAAGTTGGAAAAAAAGTAAAATTTTGACTTCTGCTCATGTAAATTTTTACAGTTTGTAATGGAAGATTTTAACTTGACAAGCAGCATCTGTTTGGGATGGAAACTGAATATTTACAGGGGGATTAAAAAAAAAGAAAGAAGCTTGACTGCTTCCTTGTTTAAACATCTGCCAGATGTGGTCACAGGAAGCAAATGTGAAAGCGTGCATGAGTCATAAGAGGGCTGCTTTAACGCTGGCAAAAATAAAACAGCTTTCAGATTTGGTAAGACTCTGAGCCACTGAGAGCTCTGCTGTTATTTGATGTCTTTGTGTCTGTTTGGTTTGTCGTTGTGGAAGCAAAGCTGCTGTGACGGGAATACCAACATTCAAACACTCCTCTTGGCATTCAGCTGGAATGGTGTCCCCAAAGGGAAAGAGTAAAATCCTGCCAGCTGCTCCGTATCTGATCCTCTCTGATCTCTTTTATTACTTTCTGATGAAGAAAAACATCATTTTAGGCAATTTCCTTCGACGATTCAGTCAGTGCTTTAAAATAAATTGTAAAAAAAAAAAATCAGCATTTAAGAGAAAATACTGCAATCTTTCTAAATATATTAAGCAACTTGACTTTAAAACAATTACATTAGTTGTTTAGCTCTCCAAATTTAATTAAACCACTAAAAGAAAGAAAAAAAATATTTTGGCTTGACGTCATAAAACCCAAATAAGACGGGAAAGGCAAAATTTAGACGCAGCATTTCAAAAAGAAAACTGTACTAAACAAACTTCTGGCGTTCCTTGAAGGCATCACGTGTTGCTTTTCACGCCAGAAATAAAGAAACGAGTGTTACAGCCGTTATGGTCAAACCTTAAAATTAGCATCATGCAATACTGTAAGATATCACATTAAGAATGTGTTGCCGACTGACTTATAGTTATTTGGGTGTTGGCTAATGTTGATTAGGTGTTACGGCCATTTTTAACTGAATATACTCCAAAGGAGTTGTAGATGTACATCTAAAGAGCACTTCCTAAAAGTTTCATTAAGTTTAATTATTTGGCAGTACGATGGCTCAGTGGTTACCGTTACCTCACAGCAAGAAGGTCCTCGGTTCAATCCCCAGTTTGGACCTTGGGTTTTTCCATGGAGTTTACACCATATTTTTTGGATTATAAGGCGCATGAAGTGAAACAAAACAGTCAGATAAGTCAAACTTTATTCAACTCATTCACAATAACCACATAAAATCGATTTGAGGTCAGTAAGCACAACCAGAATTAATACATAAGGCGCACCTGATTATAAGGCTCACTGTCGATTTTTGAGGAAATTAAAGGATTTTAAGTGCGTCTTACAGTTTGAAAAATACGGTATATTCTCTTTGTGTTTGTGTGGGTTTTCTATGGGTACTCCGGTTTCCTTCCAAAGAATAAAAACATGAACGCTAGGCTGCCTTCAGGCCTCCCTTGCAAAAGAGATCTTTGATCTCAGTGGGATTTGCCTGGTTAAATAAAAGTTAATAAATAATTAAATTCCATCAAGAGTTTTGTTTTGTGCCAACAGACAAACAAAGTCATCGCCAACAGGTCATGCTGAAGTTTTAAATAAAGATTTCACACTTTGAACAGCACTTGGAGTATGTGTTGTGAATGAATCTGAGCCAGAAACAAATCCAATTTTAGCAAAATATCTGTAGATCTGATTGAACTGTAGACATTTGTTGGGCTTTCTAAGTCCAGTTGAAGAACAGTAATATTTTTATTTTGGCTTCTACACCTCCAGTCTGACTAACACGCTGATTGGTTGTTTCTTGTCTTTAAACAGGATTTATTTATGTCAAATGTATCTACTGAAGCCACTAAACCCTCCTGCTGCCCTTGGGTCAATATTGACCCAAAGGCAGCAGGACGGTTAAAGCAGCACCAACGGTTCCCACCTTGCAAACCAGTAAATTTCAGCTGTGGTTAAAAGGTAAACTGGTGCTCTACATGTCAGCATCACATTGTTTACATGAGGGCTCCAGGTCATCCAAACAGAACATGGACAGGTAGTCCTCATGTTTATTACCACAACCCAGAGAACCGAGTGATGAGGGAGGCAGAGTGTCAGCCTCTGATCCAGGAAGTCACGCATTGCTCGTGATCGACCCATTAGATATGAATCCAGCTCGTCTGGTTAAAACAGAGCAGAAAAGGAAAAGTTGGACCTGGGAGGCTCACTCATGTATGTTGGTGTCAGTCTTGTTTTGGACTCGACACACATAAGATCAACTTACAGTTTTCTCAAAATGGAAGCTCAGTTGGAGTTTCTCATTCAGATGCAGCCACACTTCATATTAAAGTGCCAATCTGACGCCTCTCACTGTGATTTATTGTATGATCACAAATCCCAGGATTAAATTCATCACTGTGCCTTTGCTTTTCTGTTCTTCCCCACTGGGAAATCATAGCCGTGCAGCTGTAATTTGATCCTGATGACATTTTGTACAGAAACAATTCCAAGTACTCAACACCTTAAAATGTGAGTTTTAAATTATTTGACCAGATTTAAGCTGTTTAATTCAGTATAAAGTTATTTAAGTTAGTCGGCTGGTCATGAAACGCTGCAGTTTGACATTTAACTGCTTCGTTTGGATCCAGTTTAACACCTGGAGCTGCTCAGACATTGATATGTGAAACAAACCAGCCTTCAGAGGTGATCCATATTTCAGTCGCTTATGACCATCAATGATTGTGTGATCACACGCTCTGTTGCATTTTCAACATGAGATTTGGCATCTGGTTAACAGCTTTTGTGTGAAGAAATTCACATTGTAAACACACTTTTCCAACTTCCTGTTTTTTTTTAAGCAACTCAACTTGTTTCTTATCTATTACTTATTAATTCCTGTTCATGATCTG